CTTCCTACTGGCCCTCGCCTCAGGTAGGCGCCGGTCAGAGCTAGGCGCGCACTGTCCTTCACGGACGGTTGTGTCGCTTTTATGGACGATCAAGTTGTACTAAAGACATGAATCGGGTTTCTCGCCAAGAACCAAATCCCAGGACACGATCCTCAACCGATCGTCATCCCCCGGCTGGCAAATATTGTCAGTCCGGAGGATCAGAAGGAATTGCTTCTCTGCCCGGTCCGAGCACTGAGTTGCTACGAGAACCGTACCAGGTTTTCTAGACAGGGAACCAAACATGTTTTTGTGTTACGGCCCTGGCAAATAGGATAAGCCGACTTCCCGGACTTCCATCTCCAGGTGGATTACTGCGACTGTACTGGAGGTCTATAATACACTATCCAGTGTTCTCCCCAGGCCTTTCAAGCACTGCGGGCCCGTGTCGCTTAGACAAACAGCCGCGTCGCTTTTGTTTCGCCCGCGATCCTTGTTCACGTTGTATTGTTTACAAGTGTCAGCCTCGTCTAGCACATCTTTAAAACAATAACATGTATTGATCGAAAGGTAATCCCGCCTTTGTACATAGTTAGGCCTTACAAAAACAGTGATAAAAACGGAAGTCTACAAGAAGTTACCAAGTCTATCAAGGGTGCGGAGCTGGCAAACCCAAAATACTAGGGTAGTAATAATTTGCCCATTGCGTCGGGATGGTCTATCCCGAGTTGCTGCACTGCGATTAATTGCGTTTTTACTACTTCATCGCCACTAATTACCAAGAATTAAAAAACAAGTGAAATTAAGTCGCATCGGAAAAAAAAACTGTAAATAAATCGAAGTAAAAATTATTCAACTGCAGACGAGACGGACGAGGAAAAAACGAACCCTGACCTCTAGAAATACCTCATTCATAGTGCGTCATTACCGAGGAACGCCACCCTAAGGCGACGTAACGCATGTAGTGACATCACAACCGATGCATGCTGGGTTACAACGGAGATTTTGATTGAGGTAACAAAGATGGCGGCGCAGAGTGCATGTTTTTCCGCGATGTTTAAAAACAACATTTCGTTGGCGATTTTGATGCAATTTCTAAGTTAATCATCAATGAATCGTTTTAATTAAGCAAACATTCTAAGTTTGTGTATTTTTAAACAAAAAAGTCAGGGACCGATGATCGCAACAGCAGCGGTGAATACCCGTTCAACGCAATGCCGTCAGCTGACAATGTTACGGTGATCGTAGCGTTACACAAATAATAGATAGATCAATGAAAAATCGCTGACTTTAGTTTTGAAATGCCGTTGTAGAAAAAAAATGTCATTATTGATTTATTAATTTCTTCATACAGATTTTACAAATTTAACAAACAAATCACCCCCCCCCCCACAACACTGATGAAAAGTTATTTTGAAAATTGTTGAATGCCAATAGCAAACCGTTCACAAATGACTAACTTCAAAATGGAATAAAGTTCAAAATATGAAATTTGGAAAAAAAATAGAATGAATATGTGTTGCAGGTACACTGACTGGCCGACCGCAGCCTCGCTGCACATTAACCATAAGGAAGTTCTATCCATCCTGTTAGCAGCCAAACGTTGGGCACCATATTGTCGGAACCACTCTGTCCTTATTTATACGGATAGTCAGGTAGCACTGGCTAATATTAATAGTGGTACCTCTCGCCACCCTGTCGTCATGGCAGCAATGCGAGAATTATTCTGGTTTGCTTCAATTTTAACATACATGCTACACATGTACCTGGGAAGTTCAACCACATCCCAGACGCACTGTTTAGTTCACAAATGACTAACTTCAAAATGGAACAAAGTTCAAAATATGAAATTTGGAAAAAAAATAGAATGAATATGTGTTGCAGGTGTCAATCAGGCGTCAAAACACGAAAGCAGCTCAGTCAAAAACGGGTTCTTTCAATAATCCTGAACTTTCCCAAAAAACGTTACAGTGCTGTTACAGAATGTTAGTTCACTGGAGTCTGCCTAGCATCTGATCACTTGCTCAATTAAAACAGATGGTATTAATTACAACTTCCTGTCATTGCATATGACTTTGAATGTGTACACTTAAGCTTAATAAGTACTACCAAGGTCATATCTGTACTTAAATAACTAATTGTATGCTGGTGTCCAATATGTCGACCAAGGGCAAAACATTGTTATGCAAATTAGCTTTAGTTGAAAATTTGAGTTTTCTCGGCGATATCTACGTGAATTTGAACCAAAATGTTATCGGCAAGACTCAGAATACGACTGTGACAGCCACTGAAACGCAATGAAAGGCAAATGAACACGTCAAGCAAAAAAGACATTTTCACGTCTTGGAGTAAAATGGAGGCACATACCATTTTGACTCTTGAGGGGAATGGAAATCAGTTGATTTGAGGGTGTCACAATAAGCAAGGAAGTAAATCGTTTTTATGCTACGAAAAAATGCAGAACTTGAACGTACTTTTTGGACTTTAGTACAACGCAATTTTTGTTTGAATACCTAACATTTTTAGGTTCATTTGCTGCAAGTTACAGAGCACATACTTAAGCGGCCGTCCCTCAGGAAATAATGAAGCAAAGGCATTTTCGATGTCGAAATCGTGAAACTCTCCCCTTTTACGCAAACTGGGAAGTTCGAATTACTAAACGAAGTACAGGACGACGAAGCTTAGATATCCAAGAACCAACACATACAAAAAAATTATCTCAAAAGTGAATATTCATGGTGTATTTTACCTCCAACTGGACCGGAAGTGAGATTTTGTTAGTAATCTAAATATCCAAACATATTTTAGTATAAGGTAGTAAATATATTATGATTTATTGTCACTTCTACGCCAGGAATTATCTTTCACTAAGCATATATATATATATATATAATAAACTCTGAAACCTATAGTCTTAGCATACTCCGATTTTGAGACACTGGGAACAAAAGGTCACCTAAACTATTGCTTTCAGAGTTTGCCAGCTTTAGTTTATTTACTTATTGACTCTTACACAATCCCCGGAGGGAAAGAAAATGGTCACAAAGTACAAGGAGAAATATATATATATAAAAAACAAAACAAAAACACAATATACTAAAAAACAAATAACAAATACAATCACTAAATTACTAAATAAAACAAAATCTCTAAAAAACAATCTAATATAAAATTACAAAATTGACAGCAGGCATTAAGATGTCAAGTAAGACCCTGCTTCCTGACTTCAAAGCTTTTACTTATGAACTGTGCTACTGGTATAATAAT